TCTTTCCTCCAACCCCAAATGAGAAAGAAGCCATTTCTGAAAATCTGCAAGTCACAAGGGAATTTCAGACAGCTGATCTTCCTATCAAAGATAATGGAAATTTATGTCATTATGAAAACCAAAAAATATTGGCGTTGAATAAGCATGTCACTGATGCACAACCTGCTGAACAAAATGAACCAAACGTTAATAAGAAGCTTAGGCAGAAAGTAAATCGGAAGACCAAAGTAATTTCTGAAATTAACCAAATAAATGAGAATAATGATAAAGGTATGCATGGCCGTGAAAGCTACACAGAAGATCTAGATTTTAAAATGAGTAAACCTAAACAAAGACTTGAATGCCATGCGATTATCAGTGGATATTCAGTGGAAATCAATAGTAATGAAAAGGAAAGTTGTGATCAAATTTTAGATTCTTATAAACCAGTAAAAAAATGTAAGAAAGAATCATCAGGCAAGGCAAAGAACATGTTCACAAAAGGTAAGAACAAACCTATTTTGCAGTTAACAGACTCTTCAGAGATAACAGTCTCCTTAGAATCTGATTTAAAACATGTTGCTAAAGAAGTGGGTTCTGATCCAGGTAACCCAGTTGAATTACATAAAACTCAGAAACAGAGCACTACACCTCTGAATAATAAAAGAGAGACCCACTTTGTGGAAATGACAACAGAAGGAGAGTGCCAGGTCAAAAAAGTGAATAAAAAGATATCCAAATCCAAAAAAAGGAAAACCTTTGTAGACCCTTCTCCAGAGAGTCTTGAAGTAATACTTACCACCACTCCGGGAAAATCAGTTGACTGTGATCAAGTCGAAAAGGAAAACAATGTGGAAAATGGGAAAATGGTCAAAAGGAAGCCAGACTCGTGCACAAAGATGTTTAAATCTCTATCTCCCACACATTCACCTCCCACACCAGATTCTTCCTTTGACAGTGTTGCTGAAGGTTCAGTACCTTTGAGTATTTCTTCTGGCAGAAATCTGATAATAAAAGAAAGTTTTGACCTCGACTGCTCAACAGTCTTTCTAGTGACTGATGTCACGCGTGAGAAGATGAACAAGATGAAACGTAATACCAGCCACAGAGCACACAAGTCGGGAATAGGTAGGTCCTTGGAAATGATAACGTTTTAGAATTTCTTTTTTTCACTTAGTAAAATATTTTATAACTGATATTTTTATGGAATTTAAAAATGATGTATAATTGTGTAGCGTGCTCTGTAGAAACAAACTGCACGAAGGAATTTAAAGTTTAATACTTTGCAAAGGTAACAAAGTATTTTAGACATTTACAACCTAAAAATCTGATTTGGCCTTTACCACAAGGTTGTCTATTAACCATAGGTTGCTATGAAAGTTTTGAGACAGACTGTTTTAGGGTCAATTATTTCACTTCCAGGACACAAGAGTCGACAGCATCCTTTCTGATTCACCATGTACAACTTGCTTGGTTTTCAGTATTACTGGAAGGACTTCATTTGCTTCCGTCTCCATGGATTTCAGATTTCTTGGTTTTTGTGTATCCCAAAACTTCTGTGATGACCCACATAATGACCTTAGCCAGATAATTTCCTTTTTCATGTTATCTGAAGGAAATTGAATGTTTTAAATATATATAATAATGAATTGCACTAGTGTTTTACCAAAGACAATCGCAGGTTTCCTTTTTTTTGGCCAGGGCTGGGTTCGAACCCACCACCTCCGGCATATGGGGCCAGCGCCCTGCTCCTTTGAGCCACAGGCGCCTCCCCAGTTGCAGGTT